TGCTTCACTGCCTTCAGCAGAGTCCTCCCCAAATTCATCCTCCAAGGTCCATGCGGCAAAGGTCCCTGCACCCCCGTTGAATTTCGGGTTCCTTTCCTACCTGAGCGTCCCAGGTCTTCAGTCTTGCTTCTTCCTCTGGTCATTCACACCGTCATCATTCGTTGAGTCTCTGCTGTGTCCCAGTCACTGGGTATCGCAGATCAGTCCCTTTATGCAAATTAAATGTCATCGATGTACTTGGTGTTTAGTAGGCTGTGGGCGGACACTGGGTTTTCCTCTTCTGGTCTTCATGTTGCTTAATTAACCTCCTGACGTGTCTGCCTGCTGTGCGTGTGCAGAGCAGAATGTCTGCCCTGTAGGGTGCTTCCCGTGGGCACAGCACAGGGGCGAGAACTTCAGCTGGACATTATCAGCACGAGTAGAAATTGAAACCTTTTTTATTCTGATCACAGGGACAGAGCGTCTTTACTGTTGATCTTCCACCCTTCCTTAATCTAACCCCCGACTAGAGCATCTTCCGTGTTTGGGAATGAGGTGAAAGTCGTCCTAACTGCCTCTTGCCACCTCTCCCACCCTATAGTCTCAGAAAACATAATTATTGAAGTGCACCAGTGTTTTGGGAAAATTACACCGATTTTAAAGTCTTCTTTCAGTACTGTTCTCCTCCTCAATATTTATCTAATTTTCCTTTTGCAGGCTGTCCCCCAGATGAAACAGCAAAAATATTCGACAAAAGTCTCCTTCAGTTCTCAGGAGAAACCCTTAGCACCTACTCCATCATCCCAGTCTCCAGATGCGGACTTCACAGACGATGGTATGATTCTTTCCCTGAGCGGAATTGGTCCATGAAACCTTAGAGAAGGAAAGGATGGTCATGTCTGAAAAAGGGAACCAGGCCAGGGGTCAGAAGCCACATCCGTTCTCTACTTTCGTAGATTTGGGGCCAGGACAGGCCGTGTCACTTCCTGCAAATCATCTCCCCTCTCCTGTGGCGATTGCCTGCTGATTACTGAATGTAAAGGTACTAGACCAGAAAAGGCCCTGAGTAAAACTAGTTGAATCTGAGGCTTGCAGATTGGTCTTGTTTAATCTCTTCCAAAAGATTGTGTTTAGGTCATGAGTAATATCTCATAAAAGTTATATTGATCCCAATTACTAGGCCTGCGTATGTTGACATAAGCTATTTGAAGACTGTTAATTTTCAGTGTTTCAAGAAAGTGGTATTCATGTTCTCTCTTTACATTCCTGGCTCGAATTATGCTAACAGGGGTGTTGAAAATAGAACATCAAAATGAATAATGGGTGTTTCTACTTTGCTTTTATGCAAAATAAATCACTAAAAAGTTGATTCTTTAAAACACCACGCTACCAGCAGCAAAGCATAACCCTGCATTAATTTAGCCATCCTTAAACCTTTGTGGTATTTGTCTTTTATATATTTTTTCACAAATATTAACTCATAAAAAGTTTAACAAGCAGGTATTTTTTATTTATTTTTTTGTAGAGACAGAGTCTCACTTTATCACCCTCATTAGAGTGTTCTGACATCACAACTCACAGCAATCTCCAGCTCTTGGGCTTAGGTGATTCTCTTGCCTCAACCTCCCGAGTAGCTGGGACTACAGGTGCCTGCCACAACACCCGGCTATTTTTTTGTTGCAGTTTGG